CGGTCGGCATAGAGAACTGTTCACCGGCTGCGATTTTTTCAGGATCGGAACGAACACCAGCATGACTGACGACATGACCAAGAAATCGCAGCTCTTCGTAGCAAAAGTGGCACTTCTCAGGCTTCAACGTCAGGCCCGCGGACTTTATGGCTCGTAAGACCACCTCAAGTCTTCCAAGGTGCTCGTCAAACGTCGCGGAAAACACTATGACGTCGTCCAGATATACTAAGCATGCTTTCCACTTCAACCCAGAAAGCACGGTATCCATGAGTCTTTGAAAGGTAGCAGGGGCTGAGCACAAACCGAATGGCAATACCGTAAATTCATATAACCCTTCTAGTGTCGCAAAAGTGGTTTCATGCGGTCTCTCGGGTCCACCTCGATTTGCCAACTATCCACTCCGCAAGTCCATTGAAGAGAAGTATCGAGCATGTCGAAGTCTGTCGACAGAGTCTTCTATACGCGGTAGTGGATATACGTCTTTCTTGGTCACCTGATTTAGCTTCCGGTAATCCACACAGAAGCGCAGGCTGCCGTCCCTTTTCTTAACGAGGAATACAGGCGACGCCCAGGGGCTCATTGAAGGCCGAATGACGTCATCTTCAAGCATTCTGTCTACCTGCTGTTGTATCGCTTCACGTTCTTTTGGAGCCACGCGATAAGGGTTCTGGTGAATAGATCTCGCCGTTTCCTCAATAATTACTCGATGCCTGGTTAGAGGCGTGCGGCCAACTCTTGATGTTGACGAAAAGCAGTCTTGAAATTGGCCACTAGCTCAAGGAGTCTGCGTCGGTCGTCGTTCGGCAAATTAATGCTAACGTCCAGAGCAGCTGCTGAATGAAGATTTAGCGACTCGTCGACTACCGCCAAGCAGCCTTTGACATCTACGACGTCGTCGAAATAAGCGACAGCCGTGCCTTCAGGATGTTGCCGGGGCTCAGCACTAAAATTGGTCAGCAGCAAGTCCGTGCGTCCAGCAGCATTTCTGACAATAGCTCGTGCGACAGAAATACCGTGGGCGAAGAGCAGCGAGCTTATTCGGTCTGCAACTCCTTCGGCGTCAAACTGAGCAGTGGTGGCTTCAGAAACAAGCGTGAAAGACCTCGGAGGGAGAACCACATCGTCATCAGTAAGACGCAGTTGGTTTGGTCGCGCCTCTGGAGAGTTGGGTAAGCCCGAACTGTTGCAAAACGTAATCAAGCTCTCTGGTATGTTGATGACGGCACCATATTCCCGTAAAAATCTATGCCAAGAAATACATGTCTGCAGCATGCGGCGATAACGGCAAACGACGCATGTGAAAGGGGAACCTCTGATGTCAATTCTGGCGGTACATCTTCCCGAGGGCATCAATAACTGGCCTCCTGCTGTTCTTATATGAGGGCCCGTCCACGGCGTCTTCACTTTTCTGAGGCTGTGGGTGAGGTCCTGACTGATACTGGAGAAGTCGGCACCAGTGTCGACTAAAGCTGTTACTTTCAGGCCGTCAAGAAAAACACCAAGGTCAGCAGTCACAATTTCATCGTTTTCACAGGCTTATCGGCTGTATGGCGTCATGCTGGGGGGGCTTCTTGTCGTCATCTTTATGACCTGTAACCTTGCCCCCGGATGTCGCCGCTCTCAGTTTCCCCGGCCCGGGCTAGGTGACCTTCTTGTATTAAGGTCCGCGTATGTGCGGCGTTGCGACAAAGGCGAACGCGTGAGAGCGGAGAGCGGGATCGACGTCTCGGACAAGGAGGATGAGCAGGCATTGCGTCCTCTGCAGTGGTGGAGCCATCCTCAAAGTGAGAACGGGCTCAATAAAAAGAGGTGCCGTCACGGCACGGAGTGTATTTGTCGTTGGCACGTCGAACATCAAACCAAGGTCGATGAGGACGGATGGAATCACCTCGATGCCAGCAATGACGGGAAATATGTCCTGCACCTCCGCAGTGAAAGCATAGTGGACGTCTGTCCACTGCGCGCCATGAATCTGTGGACGCGTCGATGCCCGTGGGGTGGCTGTGGATGGCTGGTTGTATGGCATAGCGTGGGTGGTTGATGCAGTGTCATCTCGTACGTGTGGTGGATACGAAGGGGCCATCAGCACCTGGTGGTATAGCGTCGGCATAGCGGGTGGTGGACGTCGCAGAGCGGCAGCGTAGCTTATAGGACGCTGCTGAGCATTAGGACTAGCCGTAGACAATGCTTGGTGGATTTTGTCGCGTACGACTTCAGCGATCGACGCGGTGGAATTTTCAGCAACTGGATTCCACAACCTCTGCAGTTCCTCGCGAACTATCTCCCTAATCAAGTCTCGCAAGCAGCTCTGACTCTCAGACGTCATGGTGATAGCATTGATTGGGGCATGGCAAGACATGCGGTCATACTGCCTGCAGCGTTGATGAAGGGCCCGCTCGATAGTCGTAGCCTCCTTAATGAATGCAATCACGGTACTTGGAGGATTGCGCAGTAGCCCGGCAAAACGCTGTTTCTTGGCACCGCGCATAAGGTAACTAAACTTTTTATCTTCCGTTATGTGCGGGTTAGCTCGTTGAAAGAGACGAGTCATGTCCTCGGCAAACATTCCAACGGTTTCGTTGGGTTTTTGAACCCGTAGCTTCAATAACTGCTGCGCACGGTTCCTTCTATCAATATTGGTGAAGGTGTCGACGAACTTCTGCCGAAAGTCGGGCCAAGCTGACAGATTGCCTTCTCTATTCTCATACCAAGTACGAGCACCTTCGTCATAGTAGAAATAAGCGCGTGAAGCTTTTCCTGTTCCGACCACTGATTTACCTTGGCAACACGCTCGTAGTGGTCAAGCCAGTCGTGAACGTCTTCATGGGCACCGCCACTAAAGCGATCGGGAACGAGGGCTTGAAAGAGGGTCACCTTAGATGGGTGCGTCGGAAAGCTGCCTTGGGGCACCTGTCGCAAGCTTGCGTTGGCCATTGGTTGAGGTGTGCGGTGCTTAGCAGGTTCCGGCGAGTGAGCCAGCTCTGGCGCGAGGCCTCGCAACCGTCGACTGGAGCGATGCACCAGAGTTTCTACAGGTGACAATGAGTCTGGACTCGATGAACGGCTCCTAGCGGGCGTGTGGAGCATCAAACAAGGTTGCGGCCCAGCACCTCCACCAGTGTCGCGGTACAACGCGAATAAAACACAGGTACACCTTGGGACGACGAAAGCAACGTGTCCTCAACAGCTGAGCCACAAGATCGTCTTCTTCGGCCTCGAGAGAAGCTAGAGGCCCACTACCTCGTGCCCACTAAATGCCCCATCATCATTATCGTGCACATGTAGACACGCGTCAATATATATATATATATATATATATATATATATATATATATATATATATATATATATATATATATATATATATATATATATATTTATATTTATATATATATATATATATTATGAAGAAGTTTTTCATAAGATTATTTTTCATATTTCGTGAACCTTGACGAAGGGCGTGTCACGGCCGAAGTGTTAGTTAAGGCAATTTTTTTTTCAAATGTGCTATCTGCTAGTTAATTCTATATATATATACATACCGCATCAAGATTTTTAAAAGGGCAACGGCGTTACGTGAAGCAAATCTTGTGCATATTGCTCTGAGTGTACTGTAGTAGCCGCTACTAATTGTTTTGCTAATTACAAACAATAATTAGTATTAATCCCACTCGTAAGTCAAAAATGCTGCCCTGATTATCAAATATAATCTAGACAGATGTGCGCATGTTGAAACGACGTCTGTCTATGCCGCTTCGAACAGCGTACTAATTGGACACTCATTTTTTTCTGGTAAAATGGAGCTCTCGAAAACAAAAAAATAACACGTGACTAGACGGCTGCGCCCGTCAGAAAGAAGCACCCTCAAACAAACTGACTTTGAGATCACCAGTACCAAGGAGAAAAATGCAGAAAGGAATATATACGGATCGCGCTATCAGCCGCTTTCCGTCCTACGATACGCACCGCCTTGATCAAACAAGAGGCTGTAATCGCTTATAACAGTTATCCGGGGCATTTTCCGGGGTCGCGGTAATAATGAGAACGAACTGTAAACCATGAGAAATAATAGTAACATCAACGTACAATCAAAAGAAAAGAATCGCTGCTAAAGTGCGACGCATGTTGGCACAAGGACATGGACCTTTCCCAATGTGCAAAAGGCCGTCCCTGGCAACGAAATGGAGGCAAACCGGTTGCTCACAATACGATTGTTTGAGGGCACTGCTTTTTTTCGTGGCTATGAGTGCAGTAGCGTGTTTTTTACATATTTTGTGCGCTTTTTCATTCGCAGAAAAAAATCAGCACGCCATTTATGCGCTGTTAAGCTAACACCGACAGATGTCATCATTTTAACATGTGCACATCTGCCTCATTGATACTCTGACATTAGGACGAGTACTTTTTGAGTTTGAAATTTAATGGTGACTGATAGTTAATAGGCATTAACGAAAAAAATAGCTACTTCATTGTTTTGCGAGCATTATGCACCAAGATTGCTTTGCGAAACGTGGTTCCTCTTTCTTATGGTGCTAATCTAATGAAACCTAATGACACTCGACTCAAAAGATGATTTTGTATGTTACTTCATGTTTACTAAACTGTACTTTGGAGATCAAAAAGACAATCTGACTTCGCCTCGGTAATACATTGAATGAAATCAACGTTAAGGGAAACAAGTATAGTACTTTCCACCTTTTCGTGATGCTAAAAATTAACTAAAGTAATCAAGTGATCCTTACTAATTCAGACAAACCTTGTAAAAGCGAGCTAATCAGTCTAATTCTATCTGGCCTTAGAGTATCCGACAATAATGTAATGTCCAAATGCTAGAGTTAGCGGTCTCTCATTCTTCTTTACTGCAGTTATCTTCTTCAAAGCTCGGCTCGCCAAATTTATCCACTGAGAGGATCAGTAAAAATGAAGGTTTATTATACGTCAACAGATTTGAAAAGCAATTTTCAAAATAGTTGTGCACCAACACGAACTTTCCGTTACAGCTTGTGAAATCAAAGAAGTTTCAAAAGTTTGACTACGGACCGTTTTATAACAAGAACTACTACGGAAAAGTAAGTCCTCCAATTTTTCTCGCTCCTGCTCAAGAACACACCATGTTCGAAACAAAGGTAGAAATCAAGCAAATATTGTTGAAAAATGTCAAGAAATAAATTATAGACGGCTTGATTAAAGTCATCACTGAATACGCAGTTAAACAATTTTATGACATAATGTTACTTCGCACCGGTGGCTTGATGAATGAGTTTTCTTTGTGTGATTTTTGTGTCATACACTGTAAACCCAATTACATCCATATAGGTGTTATATAGTGTCTATACCTCACACCCCTACACCCCACGGAATGGGTGTAACAAGCAGGACTACACGTTTACCTAGGGCAGATTTCCAAATTTCCACCCTAGGGTATGATAATTTTTGAAGTGTAAAAGCTAATGCACGCCCAAGTGGTAATGAGGGTTTGAGAGCGAATGCACACCCAAGTGGCCTTAAAGATGTGAGGTTGTCACGGCGAGATTACTCCCAAAGAAGCAAAGTTGCGTAGGGTGTTGCGTCCCACTGCCAGTGACGTGTTCGAGACGGGCATGCTGCCGCCGCAACTCGATTCCGCGAATGCTGCGACTGTTACTAGAAGCTGACCATGGTGTCGCGAGACGGGGCGTGCTGGCACCAAAACTAAGCCACGGGAAATCCGGCGGCTGTTTCGGGAAGCGGAAGAGTCGACGCCGTTTCTGGAAGCGAATGGGTCGACTTAACAGAACTCAGCAATCGTGACCTTCGAGCTGAGGGGGAGTTGGGCTCCGTGTTGACGGTTCACACCCCTTGATTACTGCTCCGACTACGAGCACCCCTGCCTTTCGTGAAATGGGCTGAGGTACCGAGGAAGAAGGAGAAAGGTGAAAACGACGGGGATAAAAAGGACGATTGGGGACGAGAGACAAAAGGAGCCTGAAGAAGCCGAGATGGCGGGTGCCGGATCAACGAGCACTAGTAAACGTTTTCTCTAAATGTAAATAAATCGCGTTTTCAAGTTTTCTATATGAAAGTCCTGCTTTCATCACCAGCCTGATCTTAGTCATCCCCGCCCCACATACCCCACAACGGTACAAACTGGCTGGCAGTGGTGGAATCAAGAAATGGCATGCAGAAAACTGCGGAAAAAAGATCGACTTCTATGCATCCCGGACTGACAGAACGAGACTTCGTGGCTTTGGGAGGCACAATTTTCGCAGCAACGAAGTGAAGGTTTGGACTACTCCATAAAACCAAGCACGAGCAGCATAAGGCAGACAAAATGATCTGGGATCAGCGGTCCTGTGAACGTGGCTCTGGGAGACACGACCTTTGCCAGCTCGAGGTTCGAAGCAGCTGCGGACGGAAGATCAAGTTCTTTGGACCCGGTATCGGCATAGCGAGACTTCTTGGCTCTGGGAGGCACGACCATCGCCAAAATGGCATGAAGTTTTCGGACGACTTCAGGAAACAAGCACGAGCAGCAGAAGGCAGACGAGGATCTGGCATAGGTGGACCTGTCGACGTGGCTCCGGGAGACACTTCCTTCGCCAGCTCGAGGTTGTGTGAGTGCTTGAGCGATAACGTTTTGCCGGACATAATTAACAGGGTTTTATCGGGCGATTGGCTCTAAATCGACTGCCACTGGTGTGTGGTGCATATTGAAGAAGTATGTATTTATTTATCTATTTATTCATATACACTAAAGGCCCATTTGGGCATTACATAGGGGGGGGGTAGTTAAAATACAGCAGGGTTATGTGCAAAACAGAAATACTTACACAAAACACGAAAAAAATACTAAAAAGGTAAATGCAGCAACAAATTTCGCACCAAAGAAGACATAGTAATGTAGCACTGAGTATGGCATGAAACGATGTGTGCGATAACTGATGTAATATTGGCACTAGAGTAAGCGAAAGAAAGCCACAAAATGTTACGGTTCTGCATTCTCATCTCCATTAATCTGCGGACAAACGTGTCGTGATCATGTACAGTTACAACATCACTTGGTAGTTTATTTCAATGATAAATCGCAAGAAACAATGGTGAGTCACGAAGGAAGTTAGTACGGGCAAACATGGGCTGTATTTTGTAAGCATGATCCACACGTGGAAAAATGCGATGAGCTAGTTTATTCTGTAAATGTAAGAAAGATGATTCACTGAAATAAAGCTTGTGGAAATGAGACAGCAGAGCGATAAGCCAACGTATTTCAAGAGTTGGTAATTTCAACGACGTTTTAGTAGCTGTTAGGCTATATAGCCGAGAATATTTTCCTGTGATAAAGCGGGCTGCTTTGTTTTGAATGGCCTCAAGTTATGAATAAGGTATTGCTGGTTTGGATTCCAAATAAGGGCGGCGTATTCCATTTTCCAGTGAACTAACTTCGTGTATGCGCGAAGTATGGTGGATTGGTCAGCAGAGTGCAAATTTCGTTTAATAAATCCTAGAGCTCCTAAAGCCTTACTGGCGATTGCCTCAACATTAGCATTCCATGAGAGGTTGTGTGCAAGATAAACTCCTAAGTATTTTCTTGTGTTCACATTTTCCACTAGCCTATCATTTATTATGTAAGAATGCAGCTCAGGTTTCGTAGTTTTTGTAAATTGAATATACTTTGTTTTCGAAGCATTAATTTCCATTTACCATTGGCAGCACCATCGGGTGATTTAGTTAAAGTCAGACTGCAGCGCAATCGTATCGATATGACTAGTAATTTGTCTGTAAATTACACAATCGTCAGCAAAAAGTCTGATTGGGGATGACAATCGGTTACTTATATAGTTAACGTAAATTAGGAATAGGATTGGCCCTAGCACGGTACCTTGCGGAACACCTGATTTTACCTTTACTAATGGAGACAAGATATTAATAACAAAAACAGACTGATAGCAATCGGACAGAAAATTAGCAACCCATTTACAGATATTAGGGTTGATGTTGAGGGCGCTCAGTTTCATATTTAGGTTGTTATGGGGGACCTTGTCGAAGGCTTTGGCGAAATCTATAGAGAGCATCGACGTCTGTTTTATTACGTATCGTTTCGTAAATATCGGTTATTAGTTCGAATAGTTGAGTTTTGCATAAAAGGCCACGCTGGAAACCATGCTGACTTGGCAAGAAGAACTTTCTCGTTGTTAGATATGTCGTAACTGCAGATGATATAATGCGCTCTAAAACTTTGCATGGTATGCTCGTTAGTGAAATTGGTCTATAGTTACTGAGCATAGAGGGGTCACCTGATTTAAAGATAGGAGTGATGTGGGCAATTTTCTAGGCGTCTGGTACGCTACCACTATCAATAGTCTGCTGAAATAAAGAAGCTATAATGTGAGAAATAACAGGCTTTTTTATTTTTAGCATTTTGGTGCAGATGCCGTCAGGGCCGGGTGCCGAATTGTTAGGGATCCATTCAATAGCTAGTTCAATACCTTGGTGTGAAATATATAAATCGTTCATGACCGAATCTAGAGTCGTCAACTTAAGGTCAGACGGAATAGGATTTTCTTCTGTGAATACTGAACCAAAAGAATTATTTAGCTCCTTTGCAACACATGATGGTGAAAGAAGTACACCATCCTTAGAAATAGACACATGTGATGACAAAGATGGTTTAGGGTTAATTACCTTCCAACATTTCTCTGTGTTTTCTCTTAAGAGCGTTGTTTTATCTTTGTTGAAGAATTTGCCTTTGGCTGCTTTGATTTCTATCTTACATTGCTTGGATTGTTCACGGTAACGCTTCCAATCACTATCGGATCCCGACTGCTTTGCTTTCGAGTAAAGCGTTTTTTTTATTTATGCTTGTGCTTGACATGCAAGTTAAACCAGGCACTCTGGGTGGACGTTGTCACGTCAATTTTAGGGATATACTTTTCTTTAGTTCATTTAGCTGCGTCTATATGAGATGCCAGTTCTCATTAGTTGTGCGCGGCGACAAGGTGCGTGAAAATTCTAAAGAAAAAGACGACAGTTTATTTATAATCATATCAACATCACCACGCATGTAGTTGTAAATTGTTTTCTTTGGGTTTTCTGGTTGTTTGTTCTTAAAGTATATTCACAATGAAGCACATTGTGATCACTGATATTGTCTAAAACATTCACAAGTACATGATCGGGCTCGGTAGTCAATACAAGGTCTATAAGTGCATCACCGCGAGTCGGCAGTACAACCATTTCTGTCAAATTGAACAGGGCTAGTACATCAAGAAATTCCTGACAGTCAGACCTTTCTGTGCTGCCTTCGAGTGTACACGTCCGCCAGTTTATGCCTGGGTGATTAAAATCACCTGCCGCAAAAATAGGGGACCGGGGATAACTGCTTTGTATGAGACTGAGCGAATCATTCAGGTTTTCTTTGAAGTCGGCTGACGAGTTTGGCAACCCATAAAATTTCAATGGTAGCCTCTGTTTCAACTATGTGAGCATTAAAGCTGTTTTATTACAGCAACTAACACGCCACCGCCCCGAGAGGCCGTTCTATCTTTTCTAAAAACAAGGAAATTATTCGACAGTGATAGCTCAAAGTTAGCCACATCTGGGGACGTCTTTGTACCAAGTACGATGTCGGCAGAGCAGCCCTCGATAAAAGAACACAGGTGGTCCTGTTTATGAAAAATGCTTCTGAAGGCCCCGCCGCGGTGGTCTAGTGGCTAAGGAACTCGGCTGCTGACCCGCAGAGCGCGGGCTCGAATCCCGGCTGCGGCGGCTGCATTTCCGATGGAGGCGGAAATGTTGTAGGCCCGTGTGCTCAGATTTGGGTGCACGTTAAAGAACCCCAGGTGGTCGAAATTTTCGGAGCCCTCCACTACGGCGTCTCTCATAATCATATAGTGGTTTTGGAACGTTAAACCCCACATATCAATCAATCAAAATGCTTCTGAAGTTCGACACAATCAAAGATAAGTTTCTACTTCTGCAATGCTGTTTGGGTCACGTAGTTGGCGCAGGCGCGTCCCGCCTCGAAAGTAGGACTACCTTATCACTGAGTTATTATAGGTATACAGTTTGTTACCCAAGAACAGTTTATCAAACCGCAGTCTGTAGTTTTTGTTAGGTTGACGTTCAGCACGTGCGAAGTTCCGAAGCCGTTTCCTAATAGGTTGAATTCGTGGTGAGAAATATTCTTCTATCCAAACGGATGGAGATGCAAGATTTTTAAGTTTTGACGCACTTTGCAAGATGGTGCTCTTGTTCTTGAAATTCAAGAATTTCAAAATGATTGGGCGATTCTTACCGGGTGTTTGTTGACCTATTCTGTGTGCACATTCAATTTCACCAATGTTAAGGCCAAGGGTACGCAAAACGAACTCACTTATAAGTTTTTCCGTATCGTCCCATTTTTCACCTCCTTGTTCAGGAAATCTTTTGAATATCAGATTACTTCGTCTCAGCCGGTTACTCAGATTGTCAACTACAATACTAGCTTGTACAAACTGTCTTGAGCCAGTATTTTGGAGATGATTTTTGACTTCTTCAAGGACGGGGCGAAGTGCCGGCAGGTCGGAGCTCTTGAGGTCAGCTTTTACATCATCTAGCACTGAGGTTAGAGCAGCAACACCTTCCCGAAGGATATTTATATCTTTGGGTATTCTTTCTAAACTGGATATTCTTCTTTTTAGATCTGTGATGCCTCCTTGCATATCATTCAGCCTACCTGTTACATCTCTTTGAAGTTTTTTCGTTTGAAGACACCAACTCCTTCAGGAACGTTAGGAGCTGATCTATCTTATCCGGCCCAGGATTAGTCTCAACATCTCCATCACGAACAATGAGATGGGACAGGCAGAACAGGACAACAAAAATCGTACTACCAACACCTAAAGAATGGCAGATTGTTATCGGCCGGAAGCAAACAAGTGAATGTGTTTGGACGTCTCTACTTAATTCTACGAAACAACCAATTCGAACACGGTATGTGCAAATATCAATACCCACGTCTATTTACACAGTAATCACTCGGTGGGATTTGCGACCAAAAATCATACGGTTAAGTTGGTTACAAGACTCAAAATCACCTAAAAAAAGCGAGCAGACTTCGTTAGCATCAGATGCCTGGCCGCGAATCCCACTGGCTGATTGCTAACGCGGCCTTTTATAGGCAAGATGCTTGAGGGCGCTCCAGTAGGTGATAGAAGCACCGCTACGATGATGAAGATGATTGTTGTCGACCGTCTGCGCAGGGGAAGTGGTCGGGACCTTGCCACGGGTCGGAAGCAGCACGTGTTTACTGGTCACTGTATAATCACCTGGTAGTGTCAGTATCAGCAGAACCGTGATCTTTCTTCAAAGATTCTGGTGCCTAAAAGAAGCGAGCAGACTTCGTTAGCATCAGATGCCTGGCCGCAAATCCAAAAAAGTAAAAAGGAGCGGTTAGCTCTTGGGAAGGTATGAATATAGCAGGGATAAGAAAGAAGAGCTGTTGCTGTTAGCAGCAGAGCTCGGCTTACATATCAGTAGCAGGTTAAGGAAGCCCGAAATTCGTAGTGCGACAAGCGAAGTGGGTTTCGAAAAGGACGAGCACACAGAGGCTTGGGAAAGATATGTGATGAAGAAAAAGGAAAGGAAGAAGAAAAGAGAAAAAGAGCTGATGAGAAGGAAAGGTGGAAAGGAGAGAACAAAGGCAGGCAGAAATTTCGCTCGAGAAAATAAAGGTAGAGCAGGCGTGATGCGGCGCCGCCGCAAACAGAGAGCGTGAAAATGACGAGTTTGCTTCAGTGGTACAAAATAGGTGATCACATTGGTCTCTACCTGATTAATCCTGAACGGATCTGTGAGAAACATTCGTTTCACCAGAACACATGGCCCGAACAGTTGCTTGCGTTGTTACCGGGAGAGGCCTCACAGGTCGTGGGCAAGCTGAGCGCTGCCGAGGCAGGCGTGTACAGCTCAGTGAAGTCGACATTACTCGCGAAGTACAGGCTCTCCAGAGAGAAATTCAGAGGAGATTTAGAAAGGATTTAAAGGAGCCTTGTGAAAGCTTTGTTGAGTTTGCGTGTTGCCTCAGTGATAATTTCTCAAAGTGGGTGAAAGGAGCCGGGGCGGATAACTTAGGTAAACTTGGTGATTTACTTGCTTGGAGCAGTTTTATGACACCCTGCCAGATAATGTGCGCCTGTAGGTCAACGATAGGAAGGAAGGTGTGTCTGTGAGGAGTGAAGCAAAGCTTTCCCACAAGTACGTGGTAAGTGGAGGCTTCAGGACACCAACCAACGGCACACATTACTATCAAAGGCCTGAACCAAGGCCCGGAGCTTACACTCGAGGCCCGCAAAACACAACAAAAGAGCGAGACGACACTAGTAAAATTTGGGAAGTGCCGAGGCCCAGAGAGGCCGGGTGTTCTCTCATATCATCTAGACGATTCGGGTGACCTCACAGTTGGCCACCCTCAAATCCAGTCTTCCGGCGGCGGAGGAGTCTGTTGCGTCCCGCTGCCAGGGACGTGTTCGAGAAGGGCGTGCTTTCGGCACAACTCGGTTCCACGAATGTGGCGACTGTTACTAGAAGCTGACCATGGTGCCGCGAGACAGGTGTGCTAGAGCCACAACTCCGCCCAGGGGAATACGGCGGCTGTTTCGGGAAGCGGAAGAGTTGGTGTTGGGTCTGGAAGCGAATGGGTCAACTTAACAGAACTCAGCAATCGTGCCCCTCGAGCTGAGGGGTTGGGCTCCATGTTGACGGTTCACACGCCTTGATTCCTCCTCTTACTGCGAGCTGCCCCTGCCTTTTTCAAATGGATTGAGGTACCGAGAGAGAGAGAGAAAGGCGAGATCGACAGGGATAAAAAGGACGAAGGAGGATGAGAGACAAGAGAGACCCGAAGAAGCCGAGATGGCGGGCGCTGGATCAACGAGGACTTGTACACGTATTTTATAAATGTAAATAAATCGCTTTTACAAGTTTCCTAAATGGAAGTCCTGCTTTCATCACCGGCCTGATCTTGATCTTCCAACCCTATATACCCCGCATCTCTACAAACTGGTTGGCAGCGTTGGAATCAAGAAATGGCATGCAGAAAACTGCGAAAAGAAGATGGACTTCAGTGGATCCGGGATCGGCAGAACGAGACTTCGTGGCTCCGAAAGGCACAATTTTCGCAGTATCTAAGTGAAGGTTTGGATGACCCCAGGAAACTAAGCTCGAGCAGCAGCAGGGAAACCCAACGATCTGGGATAAGCGGTCCTGTGGACGTAGCTCTGGGAGACATGACCTTTGCTAGCTCGAAGCTGTAAGCAGCTTCGGACAGACGATCAAGTTCTGTGGATCCGGGATTGGCAGAGCGAGACTTCGTGGCTTCGGGAGGCGCAACCGTAGTCGTAATGGCGTGAAGTTTTGGACGACTTCAGGTAACAAGGACGAGCAGCAGAAGGCAGACGACCATATGGGATCAGTGGACCTGTCGACGTGACTCCGGGGGACACTTCCTTCGCCAGCTTGAGGTTGGGTGAGTGCTTGAGCGATCACGTGCTGCAAGACAATAATAACATGGTTTTATCGGGCGATTGGCTCTGAATTGACCGCTACTGCTGTGCGGTGCATATTGCAGAAGTAGTGGTTGGCTCTTGTGAAGGTATTGATATCGGAGGTTAAAGAAAGAAGTGCTGTTGCTGTTAGCAGCAGTGCTCGGCTTATATATCAATTTCAGGTTAAGGAAGCCCGAAATTTGTAGTGCGTTAAGCGAAGTGGGTTTCGGGGAGGACGAGCCCACCGAGGTTTAGGAAAAGATACGCGATGAGAAAAAGAAAGAGAACAAGAAAAAAGAAAAAGGGTGGAAGGGAAGGAATGGCAGAAAAGGAGAGAACAAAGACAGGCAGAAATTGAGCTCGAGAACACAAAGGTAGAACAGGCGAGATTAGCGCGCAGTGCAGATTTGGCGCCACCGCAAACAGAGAGCGTAAAAATGGCGAGTTTGCGTCAGCCGTACAAAACAGACAATGACATTTGTCTCTACCTGATTCATTTTGAAAGGATCAGTGAGAAACATTTATTTCACCAGCACACATGGCCAGAACGGTTGCTTGCGTTTTCACCAGGAGAGGCCTTGCAGGTCGTTGGCAAATTCAGCGCAGCCGAGGCAGGCGTGTACAGCTCAGTGAAGTCGACATTACTCGCGAAATACGGGCTCTCCACAGAGGAATTTCGGAGGAGATTCAGACAGACAAGAAAAAGGCCTAGTGAAAGCTTCGTTGGGTTTGCGTGGGTTAAAGTCTTTCATTCTTCAGCATGGGTGAAAGAAGCCGGGGCGGATAACTTAAGTAAACTGGGTGATCTAATTTGCTTGGATAACGTGCGCCTGTGGGTCAAGGATAGGCAGGAAGGTGTGTCTGTGAGGAGTGAAGCACAGCTTGCCGACAAGTACGTAGCCAGTAGAGGCTTCTGGACACCGACCAACAGCACACATTGCTATCAAAGGCCTGCACCTCGGCCCCAAGCGCACACTCGAGGACCGTAAAACAAAACAAAAGAGCGAGACGACATTAGTCGAAATTTGGCGAGTGCCGAGGCCCAGAGAGGCCGAGTGTTTTCACATACCATCTCGACGCTTCGGGTGACCTGACAGTTGGCCACCCTCGAATCGAGTCTTCCTGCAGCGGAGGAGTCTGTTGCGTCCCACTGCCAGGGACCTGTTAGAGAAGGGCGTGCCGTCACCACAACTTGGTTCCGCGAATGCGGCGTATGTGGATCATGGTGTCGCAAGACGGGTGCGCTGGCGCTATAACTAAGCCCCGCGGACTGCGGTGGTTGTTTCGGGAAGCAGAAGAGCCGACGATGTTTCTGGAAGCGGATGGGTCGACTTAACAGAACTCAGCAATCGCGCCCTTCCAGCTGAAGGGGAGTCGAGCTCAGTGTTAACGGTTCACAGCCCTTGATTCCTCTTTTTATTGCGAGCCGCCCCTGCCTTTCGTGAAATGGACCGAGGTACCGAGGGAGAGGGAGAAAGGCGGGAACGACGGAGGTAAAAAGGACGAAGGGGGACGAGAGAAGAGGGGCCCGAAGAAGCCGAGATGGCGAGCGCTGGATCAACGAGGACTAGTAAACGTTTTCTCTAAATGTAAATAAATCGCCTTTGCAAGTTTCCTAAACGGAAGTAATGCTTTCATCACTGACCTGATTTTGGTCATAGTACCCTATGTACCCCACAACGCTACAAGGGGTCCAATACACCGAAACAGCAAAAATGACGTGCGGATGTTTATGCAGAAATACGCCTTCACACCCATTCCAAAATTATCATAATTCGAGTGTTACCACCTTCCAATAAGCACCCGTGGAAGCACTAGAAAGCTTAACGTTTATTTAAACCTTTCAGGCGAAGATGTCTTATTGAAGACGCTCCTGCCACAGTGCGAAAATCCTGGCACTAGCACTGCTTTTATGGTTCATATATGAATCACGGCACACAAGCCTCGCAAATAGAACGTATACTTCTAGCTGAACCCAAAGGCATCGCCCGAATCAAGCTGTCACATATAACGTGGCATTCACAAAGCTATCGCATAGTGCAAAATGAAATAGAGCTAAAGCTTGATTTCAATTGTTGTTTCAATTGTTTCATTTCATTTGTTTATGATCTGTTGACACAGATCACAAGCTGGCTTCAGAGAAAAATTGTAACGTAATCAAAAACCTTTTTCAAGTGTGCAGAGCGGAATGCCGTTTACTGTGAAAGAATACCGAAAATCGGACGTGAATGGTATGGCGTCGAGCTCTAACGACCAAGGCATGCGTATCAAAGTACAACAGAAGAGCCTTTATTTGCACTTAGAAATGAAGAGCTTACTTTATTATGTTTCATTGCAATACAGAAGCCTAGTGCAGTGAAGCATACAAACAGCAAGAACAGTAGTGCGATGCAGGATGCCTTATTTCTCCATTATACCAAAATAATATATCAAAGCACACTGCCATGGCCACATTGATACGCCACTGTTTACAAGAGGGCCATGCCTTATGCATAATATGCCAGGCGAGCGTTATTCAAATGAATATAATGACTAAACAATCTTAAAATGGCATTTTATTTTAACAATAACTTTTGCTTGTGCAGCGTTTCATAATACTGGAGAAACAATAACACAGGAGTGAAAACAACAGGCAAAATTACAATGGCCTACCCGTGTCACTACATGCGAACCAACGCCGACCGGCAATCGTTTCACTCTTGTCATGCATGTGTTTCAGTGCGCATTCCTGCGCATACTGCTTTCCGTTCTCCTGCCAGCTTCTTTGAACACACTGTTGCATTATCAACATCGTTCCAGAGAAAGCGGCACGCTTGCTTGTCTAACCCTCTTGGTGTTCGACACAAGCTTATCAATCGCAACGTACTAGGAAAAATGATTGAGACCTGTCTTCTCAGACATAGGTGTATTTTAAAGAGCCCCAGGTGGGCGAAATTTCTGCAGCCCTTCAGAATGGCGTCCCTGATAACTAAAGACCGGAGCTTTGCCAAATGCCTATTTTTTCTGGAGTTTGTTTTGAGCCTCTTTCACATATAGACAGGAACTAAGCGATAGCAAAAATTTTATTCACATATTTATTGGGCCTACAGGTGCCTGTTTTAAGCTTCGTGCCTATATGAGCTTTTAAAGGCCAAAAAAATTCTTTTTAATATTCGTTTAGTAGACGTTTTGCTAAATGAGCTCTTCATTTGAAGGAAAACAAAAAGCACTTGATGTGGTTACATTAACGACAACACATGCATAGAACCTTAATGTTTTTAACTATTGGTAAAGTGCGATTAAGGTTCAACGTAGGGTCGACGCACGCATACGCTGTGGTACAATGGTGAAAACAGATCATAAGTCGATGCACTGCCACAGCGAACGTTTATCTAGACTCGGTAATTGTGCTCCTACACATGTGACGTTTGCCAACGCTCCAATAACATGGTACGGTAAAGGCGCTTTTACTTGTGTGGGGCTTGTACGTGGTTCGGACTCGCACGGTGGATGGCACGGTTTAGACTGGCACGGTGGATGGACGTGTTTTTGAGCACTCTCGATCGACTGCGCAAATAAGTGATTTAGCATGTTTTGAGCTTGTCTTTAAAATTATTAAGGCAGCAGTTAACATCTTTGTAGCACTTATTACACTGTATGGCTTTTCCGGGAGTCAGTCGCCAGGTATTTATTAGTTTGTGCGTGTGCGTGTGTCAGATTTTTGTTTTTTGTGTTGTTTTTTTTGCCAACCCGTGGGGGAGGTGCACGTACAATAAACAAGTAAATTCTAGTAGTAGAGCTTAGACTTTCTCTTTTTCGTAGCGCAGGAATCGTGTTTTGTAATTATCGAGTGAGACAAGCCATCAGAACAATTGGTGTCATAAAGACATAGTTAAAAAGTTGTGAAGTGTTCAGGATGGGGGTTGAGTTTGAAATCGGACCCAAGTGCAGAAACAAATGAAGAGGAGGCTGACGCGAAGTGTAGGCAATTTAAGGTCGAGGAAAAAATGAAGAAAACGATGGTTGCCCAGAGTGAACTGCTGTTAAGAATCACCAAGCTGGAGAATGCGTTGGCGACAGCGCAAGAAAAAACGAGGGCAGTGGGAGAAAGGCTTAAGTCCACTGAGGAATAACTGGCCAATGTGAACAAAGAAGAGGCCGACGGCGAGAAGAGTAGGGCACCGGCAACCAGAATGGTGGAGAAGAAAGAGCAAGCAGGTTTGAAAAAAAAAACAGATTCAGCCAATTCAATTGTCGCAAGGCCCAGATTCGGCGAAGTAGTGGTGGGGCTGGGAGGGGACGACAAAGCAGTCGGTGTCACAAGTGCAAATAACCCCTAGGTGCAGGACGCTCCAGCTGAAAAGTCACAGCATGTGATAATCGCCGGGGACTCATATTTAAATCGACGAGTAGAAGCAATCAAAGAGTAGGTAAGAGGTGACAAGAGAGTTGCAGTAGGGACGTTCCCAGGACGCAAGTTGGAAGCAGTCGTGAGGCAAGCGAGTGCAAACTTAAAACTACAGGTGATAGACGAAACCTCGTGATAGTTTCAGGCGGTTTAAACTATGTCTAAAATGAATATACGGCAAGACTAGCAACCACACTGGTGAAAGTTGTCGATGACATGCGCGCCACTTCTCCTCAGGTACAGGTAGTGTTATGCACGATGCCGGAGGTACCGGTGCGTGACGGCGACCTGCAAAGAGCGGTGGCCAATGCAAACCAAGAGATATGGCGGATGAATCGAGAGAAAGGCTTTGAGGTGGGGTAAATAAACAAAGAGGTGCATAGGTGGCGTGGGCTTCAACGAGACAGAATTAACTTCAATGGGCGGCTAGGTCATAAGGTGGGTTGGTGACTTGCAGGACGCGCAGTAGCTTTTTTGGGGGGCTCGTGGGCCCTTCGGGGTGCAGGATAGCTGGTAACGAGGAAAACAACCAGGGAGACTCTTTCACAGGTGGTATGG